AAATTCCTGCTGTTGGTTTAAAACTCTGAAGACAAGCTAACTGCAATGACACTTGTTAGGATTTCTCCATCAGGGTGACAAGTGAATATTTTCTGTTAATCATTTCTTCAGTGGTGTTGTAGTAGTCGGAGTACCAGTGTCATTTTTTAAATCGCAAAGGACAGAAACAGTGACTTCAGTGCAAGATAAAGAAGCTAGATTATGAGGGGGGGAAGGGACAGACATCTGCACTGACCTACATTCAGAAACTGTAGGCTGAGCATTTCTGTAAAAGTATTTTTTTCCTTTTAAAATGCGTCTTTCTAACGTGTCAGTATGAGAACCTGTCTTTCAAAAACAGAGATTTTCCACGTTTTATAAATGAAACTTTCTGAAATTAATGGTTCTATTTTTCTGGATAGGAAATTCAAAACAAGCAGAAGGCAGGACCTACAGATGAGACTCCTCGTCGGGGTCCAGAGTCTCTTCCAGTCGGACACCATGACATCATTACAGATATTGCTACTTTCCAGACTACTCAAGGATTTATAGTAACTGCATCAAGAGATGGCATTGTTAAAGTGTGGAAATAAGAGTTGCACTAATATGTAGTCTGTAAATATTTGTAATAAAGAAATAGAATTATACTAAAACTTTTTGAGAATTGTTTCCAGAGCATGGAACAGAATGGAGTCTGAAGAATATGAAGGTGACCATAAGACAGATATCAATATTAACCAGACTCGTTAAAGACTCTTTTGCAGATCCCTTATTTTATTAAAGCTGCGTGGTTTCTGTAGTACTCCTTGAAGAACTAAACAGAAGTGGTTCATGAAGAAATTGTCTTTAGTCTAGTGGTAACCATAGTATTCTTCAGGAACCTCTAAGGAAATAGTTTATAATTTGCAATGTGAAGCTTCTTAAACAATGAAAGCTACTAACTCCAATGTAGAAAAAAAAAGTATGAAGTCAGATTTTTTTCTACATTGAGTCTGAGAACTGAAAAAGAACCTGTTGCACTAGCATCTATGTACACTCTGATTAAACATGCACAATAAACTGCATTTGAGCTTTCTTGTACAGTTATTTTGTCTGCAGTATCTATTGTCCCTATATCCCTGTGGGATACTGGACCTTTAACACCTGTTTGGCATATTGTTCCACTACATGCAAGATTCTGCTTTACTCATTTCACCAGCAGTCATCTTATTAGTTTGATTTTACTATATAATGGGAAACAGAAAACCAGTTTGTATTGCTTAGACTTTCTGTTCTACACGTTGCCTTTCTATTCTTCTGTGTTGCTTATGATTTCATTACCACATAAAATGGTATAATGGCTTCTCCAATTCCATAATACCGAGGCAAGAAAAATGAAGGGGTAATAAGCTTGGTATGTGTGTAGATTCTATGGCTTGTTTTTATTTTCCATCTGCAAACAGTTTCAAACTGGCTTTTGTGTGGATGCACTGGCTGGCCAGGAAATGTTCCTCTTACCATCACTAGGCTTGATGTCTTAACTGACATAAATGCATTGCATTAGCTATTGCTATCTTGTAAAACAAAACACCAGCTGATGTTTCAGGTAAGTAGTTTTAATTAGTGTAATGACATGTATAAAGTGCATTAAAAAAGTTCGGTATGATAGTAACAAAGTAACAGAAGGTGCATTGTAAAACTATCCCCTTTGAAATGGCTTTCACTGAAGGTGAGAGATTTATACAGAAAAGAGGTGAGCAGTGAAACTTCAAAAACTGAAGCATAAAACGTTAAGCTGATCTGAACTGTATACAGTATAGTGTGTGAGTATGGTACTGTTGACATTGACTTTTATATTACAAAAGATTTTTTGGGGCTCAGCTTGTTTTCCATATTCATCTAAGATGACATTTTTTTACTTTTACCCTCACAGATAATACTGCTTATAGGGAACACAGTTTTGGTTTTAGCAATTTTGGCTGTTTTCATAATACTGTTACATGTATGAAACTTGAGAGAAGTACTTTAGATCCTGTTGAAAACATCTTGCATTCAAAAGCTTGTCTTGTTTTTTTCCAACCATGCAGTTGGTCTAATAGAAGATATCACCCCCCAAAATGCCTTACTTCTCATATCATTCCTGGATCTTCACAGCTACCTCACTTTAACACTACCATAGTCTTTTTATACTACTGTTGATATCATGCCAGTTAAACTTGAGGTTTCACTATATAAAATTAAATCCTAGGACATTTTCATATCAAAATCATATTAAAGTACAAATAGAATGAAACTCCCTCAAGTAGAGCTTTGTAGGCACCAGCACTTCCATTGTGTGAAATTTTGCAATTCTGAAGTTTTTCTGTCCAAGTCAGAAATATACAAGCTTCCCTAAATTGAAACAATTTAAAAAGCACTTTTTGCAAGATCTACAATACATTTTTTTGAAAATTTCTGAGCTAACAAGCCAATTTCCCTGCCAATATTTCCATGCATTGTTTCAGGTTAGTTGAACCATTTTCAAACAGAAAACTGTTCCCTCAAAAATTTTTACCAGTTCAACTTAGACTTTCCTCCATTCTTGAATACCCAAGTAGCATGCAGAATTAAAGGCCAAATTTGAGGCAGAATTGTTGTTTTCAAGGAGATGCACTCTTGTGTTCTTACTTTATTTAGTCCCCTTTGTCTTAAGTAAACCAGTCAAAAAGCAGCCCTATAATTAGTTTCTGTTTGTCTAAAGAAGCATAATAGCAAATAAATTGCTTTCTTATCTTTAGTTAGTGAAACTTATGCCTGTAAAAGCAGTATGAGGAAAATAGTTTCATGGTAATGAACCTGAATCACAGCTTAAGGCATTGCACATGCTGTGGGATATGGCACTGGGTGCTTTAATTAGCAAGGCATGCCAATTAAAAATTGCCTGGGCGTCATGTGTATCAGCATCCCCGTGCTTAAAAATGCTAGTGGGGCACTTGGAACTAAAGCTGATAAAACATATTTTATTTCAAAGTGGCCTGCCACCATTTTTTCAGCGTGAAGATATGCTGGGATGCTGATGCACGGAACACAGGAGGCTGCAAGAACGCATCAGTTTCCATATTCCAGCAGACTTGATCAATCGAGTCTGCTCTAACGTGCTGGATTTTCAGTGCATCGGAGCAGGCTCTGTGCATGTGTACAGGAGCCCTTTGTATAACATCTCTTTCCAGTAACCAAGTCAGTGTCTTCTGTTGTCAGACAGCTCCACCAAAATGAAAGCTGGTAGTTCTTTAAGGTCATGGTCTTGAAAGTTACCAAATGCCTCCACCTCCCACTGAAGTGAATGGGAGTTGAGAGCACTTACTGCTGGAGAGAATCAGACCCAGAATTTGTTTGATTTTTTTTTTTTTAAAGTAAAGAAATTTGCCTAATTTAAAAAAATGAAAGTTATAAGGAATGTGAAACATCATGGCAAGATTTCTTCCATGATGCACCTAGAAGAAATCTTGTTCACTGTTGCCCAACCTTGAAAGAGACCTAGAAAAGAGGAATTGCTGCTTTGGAAAAATACTGCATATCAGAATCATGCCTCATAATTTGTTTTGTTCAGCCTGAGGCCAGTGTCCAGTTTCAGTCACTAACTTGAATTTTGAAGTCCGTCCATCTGTAAATCAAAATAAAGAGCAAAACATGACAATATCCATAAAAAGAACTAAAACAATTCATTCTTAATTCTTGTTTCTATAGGCTTTGTATTAACGTAGTATTTACCTCTACAAAAACATTTCATGATAGCCAAATCTTGGCCCTATACCACAACCTGAGGCGGCAGAATGTGCTAGGGGGCCTAACCTTCTTTGTAAGAGCCAGGAAGGGAACAAATCCTACTTGACTGGCCCAATGCAGTCAGGCTCTGGGCCATGGGGAGGTGTGGGAAGATGGACAGAAAACTGTGGCTCAGACACCACTGGTCCCTCAGCCCAAGGTGGGGGGAGGTGGGATCCAGCCCATGGACCAACTCTGTGCCACTTACTTCAAATCATATGCAGTCTTCATTACTGCTATTTGTTATATCAGCATGCTCCGTTTTGTTTCCGGTTGCTGAATCCTCATATGCAGTGCTGATAAAATCAGTATCTAGAAAGTCATCATGGAGGTCAGCCTGTAGCATGCTGAATAAATGTCCTACAGCTGCAAGATATGCATCTGAGACATACTCTTCTGCTGAGCCTTCAGCGTGGGTGACAGAACTAGTGATTAGAAAACAGGAAGTATTTTCATAGGGCAGTACTCTGAAAAAATAACTGGCCTTGTTAGTTAACATGCTCTTTTGACTTTCCCCTTTTCTGTGCTGCATCTTAACTAATGATCAACCCGTGAATTTAAGAATCTTGATTGGACCAGGATCCAAGCCAGCATACAAAAGCAAATAAATTATTGTCAGACTAAGGCATTTCGAGCTCTGTCAGAATAGGCTCTGGGGAACCAGGAACAATTTTGCAGAAGGGGAATTTTGTGTGGTGTAAGATGTTTTCTCTGGTTTTAAATCATTTAAAAAAATTGCAGGTGTATCTTCCAATAAACAAAAAGCAATTTTGTTTGGTTCTTACTTTTGATGGCAGAAAATGAAATTGCTTCCCAACCCAAAGGTCCCAATGGAAGGACTCGAAGCATATAGACAAGTGACTGCAGGATCAGGGCTTTTGATAGGAATCCCTACCACTGAGAACCTCTGGACTTTCGCATCAATTTTCCCATTTATGTAAAAAAGTCTTAATAAAATTAGTGGACTCACGGGGATGGTCTTGGAAAACTGGTAGTCTCACAAGGTGTCCTAAGCTCCTCTGGTGGATACCTGTTAATTGAACCTGACAAGAAAGAAGGATGCAGTCATGAAATTCACCCACTCAGTGGAATTTGAAATACTTTCTACTAACATTGGCCTTGTTCCAGAGGCAAGCATTTCATGAATACTGTAAACCATATCCTATGCTTGAACTTTACCACTATTATATTCTTTACAACATTCCATCTAATTCATATTGGATTACTTTGAGAATGACAGCAGCCCTACTGGTAGACTTGGTACAAATATATTTTGTTTCTTTGTGCATATACATAATGCCTAAGAATAGTGCACAATGCAGTTGTTCAATCACACTCCCTGTTCAGTACCTTAAAGGTTCACTTTTACCTGGAGGTCTAGAAATCATACCGTTTGTTCTATGTTAATACAAAAAATCCTAACTTTATCAATTAGTAAGTCAATGTTAAGACAGCAAGCATGTCAGGATGACTGCCAAAACACGTATAGTAACTTCCCCTAAATCAGCCTCTGCAAGCAGCACAGGTTGTTACCCTTCCAGAATACTGGATCTACCTCCCATCAGTAGTTTCTTTTAATTTATATCCTAGCATCACAACAACACAATCTTCACAACACACCCCTTTGTGGGTCTACTATTAGGTCAGCATTTTGGCCGTCTATTGAATAAATACTACAGAAATAGTATCAGTAGACACTGATTCATATACTAGCAGAGGCCAGAAGTGACCAGCGGTAATTGCTGTCTGAAACTAGTCAGGCAATCTATGTGAAATAAGATTAGGGATGCTAGTATAGATCCTACTAGACATATTTGCATATGCATAAAGCCAGTCACAAAAACCAAATGGCTCCAATGTTGAAAGTACAAAAGCCTAAGAATGGATAAATATGGGAATTTAATTAGATAGCCAAGAATAGAACTATAAAGTAATAACTTACTTCGTAAGAGACGTACAAATGCTTTCATAAATCTCTCTATGTATCCAAGATCGGGCTTGTGCATTCTGCCAAGCTGAACCAAATGCTGTTCTAAGGGAATGCTAGCAAGCTCTTCCAGTTCTTCGTCATTACACAATGGCCTCAAAGAAATTACAAACAGAGCATATCCTTGGCACTTGGCTGTCATCAATGCTTCCTTTAACATTTCCTTGTCCCATGAACTTGTTTCTCCAGCAGATATGACAATGATGAATTTGTTGTCTCTTGGGTTTGGAGCCTCTGAGAAAATATTTTCCATTACCCACTCAATGGTATATCCAAGAGCAGCTTCTCCATTCAGCTGTTGAAGATAATTTTTTATATGATTCTGCATTAAGAGTTTACTGCTGTGGGTGACTAAATCAAACTCCATCTTTACTGGACTCTTGTGTGTCCTGGGTTTGAAACCTGGTGTAGCATGGCTCACCATAGCTACTCTATCACCTGTAGCAGAAATAACTGGGTAAGACGAAATGTCAAAGGCATCAAGTGCTTTGCTGAGGAAGACTTTCACTGTCTCAAATTCATCACTGCTCATTTTCCAGGAGCTATCCAAAATGAAAGCAGCATCCACATAGGTCTGTGGTGGAGAGGGTTCAGGAAGCATACAGGAGGCATCTGGGTTACACTTGTCTGCAAATGAACACAAAAGTAGTAGGTTATCCAGGTTGTAGCTGTATTGGTCTAATGGCAAAAGCAATCAGGACTCATGGTTGAGGTGATATCTTTTATTAGACCAACCAGATTTTTGCAAAATGTTTTTTTTTGCAAAAATCTAGTTGGTCTAATAAAAGATATCACCTCAACCATGAGTCTAGAAAAGTAGCATGTATTTCTCTTTATGCAAGTGTAAAAAGAGAATGGCTGAGCTCTCAGTTCTATGTATTGGCAACAGGGGATGACATGATAGGAGACCTACAGATCGGTGGTCACCTGGGGGACAGTGATCAAATAATAGAATTCACCATAAGACGTTGAGTGGGAAAGGTAACTAGTAGGGTGAAAGTGCTAGACTTTAGGAAAGCTGATTTCAATGAACTCAGGCGTTTAGTCAAGGACGCACTGCAGAGTAAGAGTTTTAAAGAGTTGGGAGCCCAGGAAGGGTGGTTGTGCCTTAAGGAAATGATCCTTCGGGCACAGAGGGAGACGATCCCAATGTGGGAAAAAAGGGGGAAAGGGGCCAAGAGGTTTCCTTGGCTGACCAGAGAAATCCAGAGCTGTCTACGGGCCAAAAGGGAGGCATATAAAAAGTGGAAACGGGGAGAGATTACTAAAGAGGAATATACCTCCTCTGCTCGCGCTTGTAGGGAGGCAGTTAGACAGGCCAAAGCTACCATGGAGCTGAGGATGGCATCCCAAGTTAAGGATAAC